ATTTTAAAATTTTAAATTCTTAAGCAAATATATTGACAGAATAAATAGTATTTATGTTTAAAATTATCAAAAAAATAAATCCTAAAAATATATTAAAATTATTTTTTATAAATTTTTATTGTGTGATTTATTAATAATATATAACATTTATATATCGATAATATATCAAATATAAATATAAAAATAATAATTATATATCTATAACAATTGTTGTTTTTTGACAAAATCTTTTTCTTTTATTTATATATAAATATTTTAAAATATATATTCCTTCATTCTAGAATTAGTGATTGAATTTGATTTATTTTAACAAAATTTTTTCAAGTTTTATCACTTTTTATTTGAAAGTTTTTATTAATTAAAATTTTAACAGGAAAACACTTTTAAATTTTGAATTCAAGTATATATTGTTAAAATTTAACTTAATCAAATGTTTAAATAATTAAGTGTAATTAGAAAAATTGGAGCACAAACGTCAAATTGAAACAATATTAATAAAACAGAGGGAGTGATAGGAAATAGCTAGATCTCTTGATATCATCCAATTCATCTTATCATTTCAGGATAAGATTTCAATTCAAAATTTTCAAAAAAAGAAAAACAAAACTCAAATTCTAACTACTATAAGGATATTTTTCTTTTGAAAAGAGATATTTTCTATATGTAGATTAAATCATTAAATTTATAATTACAATAAAACCACTGTTTAGGAAAATTTTTTGTTCCTGCATTTTGGGAAAAATATTTGAGATTGAAATATCCCATATTACACTATTGCTATGATACCTCAAGACCATAAAGCAAAAACATTTTTTTTATATTTCTATAAAAAATTTATAAAATGTTAAAAAATGAAAAGAAAAATGTAGTGCAACTACTATTAGATTGATATTGTGAAAAAGGAAGTGAGGATCCTACAAAGGTGACTAGAAGAATATAGGCAAACTACAAATCAGAAATTTCCAAGAATCCTCCATAACTTGAAAAGGAAAACAAAGCCAAATTTTAACTGCATAGATTTTGTGTGTTTGACTTATCAATCATCTCCCATAATTCACGTGAAGTAATATTTTAAACTCATATTAGGGATTCACCAAAACCAGTAAAAGTTTCAAAGCAATAGCTAGCCATGAATTGAGGCATGTATGGAGCAAAGTTAGCAGAGTTCTTCACTCTTTTAAGCTGCTTGGGCTCACATCCACTGTTCCCCCAGACATAGATCAAACCATGGAGCCCACATGCAATGAACAGTGCTTAACATATGTGGTGAAACCCCACTTTTATATGATGAAACATCATTTCCCATGGAATCATACATATTGCACATGCATGATATGAACATATCATAACTTTATTTTTTTTAATATAAATTCATATATGTTTGTATGATATAGATATAAGTGTAGATAATTGTACGTACCGAACAGCAGTCTCATGGAATCGTCTGTCAGGTTGTCGTTGACGGAGAACATGAAGGTCGCCGCCGGGACAAAATTCAGTCAACAGACAAGACCACCTTGGACAGTCTAATGTGGCATAGAGAGTTGGAAGAAACGGATGGTCCAACGATTCCAATATTTCCCTCTCTATTGTTGCCCTACTTTCTTTGTTTCTTCCCACAAGCTCCTTTTTGTCCATTACCTTGGCAGCAAAAAAGCACCCACTAGCACCCTTCAGTTCCACAAGGTAAACGCTCCCTATATCGCCGCTGCCAAGCCGGTGAACAAAGCGTAGGTCCGCTAGGGTTAGCACATTATTGTCGGACTTTACGCGTTGGATGGCATGCCAACAGGGGTCACGTGGAGGCGCGTGGTGGTGCTTGGTGGAGGTGGATAGTAGGTTTGAGGTAGCCCATGTGGCATCGGACCCTGAACTTGTGCTACGTTTTGTTTCGGGAACGGTGGTGGAGGTGGTGGCGGTGGTGGCAGTAGTAGTTGTGGAGGTGAAGCTAAGGTTGTCAAGGTCATCAGCAAGGTCATCGACGCATTGTTGCATGGTGGTCGAGAGGTGGAGCCACCCTTTTTGCCTCAAAAGGGTGTGGATGTGGAAATGAGAATAGGAAAAGAGAGTGAGAGGAAGAGGCTTTTGAAGAGCAAGGGAATGAGAGTATGGGCCGGCAAAATGAGGTTGGGCCATGTGGCAGATTTTGGTGTTGTTGGAGGACCCACTTGGTCAATTCCCATTTCCGGTTTTGTGTACTTGCATAATTGGATTTCATGCTTTTAAAAACTTGAATTATTGTATGTCACTGTTAGGCTACAAGTGTGCTTTTGCATAATAAATTGTGTTGATGAAGCATGAATAGTTCACTGTCACTGTATATCTGTGTTTTTTTTTTTAATTTTTAAAAATTCTAAAATGGCGTCTTTAAATTCATGGCTAAATCAGGTTATTTATTAATGAAATATTATAATTAAATTAATCCATTATATTCATATCAAGAGAGACAAATGCGCTAAGACAAAAAAGGTAGCACGAGTAATATTTCCTTGATAAGAAATTGCCATGTTTTATAAGAACAAATGCAGCCATATATCTCTACTTTAGATGGAAATTTGTAATGGATTTTTTGTTACCTTGTTTAAATTTCTTTATTTTGGTAAAAATCAAAGTCATTTTTCCTTTTTGATATCTGAAATGATCTCCTTTTTCCTGTCATTAATTGTCTTCTAGCATGAATAATATCTCCTTTTTTTATTACCATGCATTTTTCTTTTTGAAGCAAGGAAAAAATTCATTATCCAACTGCAACTCCAATTCGCTTCAAAACAAAATCTTATACTGCAACTAATCTTGATCTCCTTTCCCAAATTCGTAGAATATTCACTTGACCTAGATGCCTGAGCCTGCTAGCCCATTTGAAATGCTTCTTTTCGGCTTCAAGGATACAGCTAGTTTGAAAAGTACTGCAAGTTTGGGAGATGTAACTGCTGGCTTGAAGCTTTCTTCTAGACAAAAAATTAAACATCAACACTAATCCAATATGACCCGTTTTAAACCCCAAATCTATATGTAAACCCAATTAAGAAATGCAATAAACATATTAAAATTCAAGTCTAGTAACAAGGTGAGAGCTTTTGTTTTCAATGTTGGCCACTCTGCTTCTCTTTTTTTTTTTTTTTATTGAATTTGTATTCAAAAAATACAAAGAGTTACTCTTGATTATTACATGTGATTACTTTACCAAATAATCATTTTGGGTCATCAAAATTTGAAAGATATGTGGGGACTGGGTAGTGAAAGAGAAGGAAACACTCACCAAAATTATTTTAGATTTTCTAACAAAAAAAAAAAAATAGAAAACTGCAAATTAGGGAGAATTAGATAAAACGATATATAAGTGTACAAAAGTACCTTATATTAGGAATAAAGTTTAAAACAACTCCAATTTTAAAAATAAGAATTATAAATTACCTTATTTTAGGAAAAAACTCTACTTTTCAAAAGGATATCCGACGAGTCACAGACATATGATGATAATCCCCCAGCCAAAAGCTGTCACCTTGTTGGCATTCATTCCATTTAATTTTCTCCACTTGTTACTTCATAAGCATCCATTGGGATAAAATATTTCCAAAATCTATGCTTCCAATTAAAAATGAAAAAAAGAAATGAAGATTTTAACCATCTAACATTATACAAAATGTATTTGAAGCAGCTGTGTTTAGTGAGGTGACCAAGTCTCCGATAGATACAAAAGGAAAAGCCTACCCGTTCAAGTGTAGCCCAACATGCTGAAAAAGATGCGTGCACATCTTTTTGCCTAGTCTACAATCAATGAGGAATTTTCAAATATAACTGTCATATTAAAATAAGGAAGGCTTTGGCTCCTATCAGTGGCTGGGATTTTTTCAAAACTAGACCTTTGCCGACAAAAGCAAGGAGACAACCTTATAAAGCCATATAAAACAGGGCAATGAGATACAAGCCCTCCGTCCAATTTTGAACTCTCTATATATATTTAAAAGGCGATAAATCATCCATTTGTACAAAGAAGTGATATCAGCAATCAATGAAATATAATGTTTTACAGCTTTTAATATGAGTAAGCTATTTCCAAAGATTACTCAGTGATAATGTAATGTCAAACATTTTAAGAGTAAGAAAATGTTTTAATTTCATATAAATTAAGAAATAAAAAATATTTAAATATATAAATGTGATCGTTGTATATCTCAATAAATTATTATACAAAAAATGATAATTATCATATGATAAAATGATATTAGAACCAATTATGAACTATTCAATTTCATGTCAAATATACCTACGAGATAAGTAAGATAAAGTAATCTTATCTTATGTCAAGTTAAATACAATGCAATGTATTACATATCCTAATAAATCATTTTACAGGAAATGATAATGATCATATGATAAAATAAAATAAATAAAATAAATAAATTTTATTTTATATCAAGTGAAGTGTTAAATGTTACATCAAACGCGTTAAGACGTTATATATCTCAATAAATCATGTTATAAGAGATGATAATGATTATGTGATAATGTTATATCAAAATTAATTCTGAACTATTTCATCATGCGTCAAGCGTCCCGACGAGATAAGTAACGTAAACTAATCTTTCCTGGACTATTTGAATCCATATCAAATGTCCCGACGCAATAGACAAGATAAACTAGTCTCCTATTGTGCCAAGTCTAAGTGCTAATATAATGTCAAACATTAATGAGAGTAGGCAAGATGCTACTCCACGATGTTTCAAACTCACAAGATATTTCAATTTCACAAAATTAAAAAAAAAATTATAAGAAATAGGTAGGATGCTTCAATCTCATGTAACATAGAAAAATTTTTTTGAGCATTTAAAAATAAATCGATTTTTGGAACTACACAGCCGCCCAATTTCAATGGAAACTACACAATCTAGTGGCATTGACAACAATGGATGTTGTAACATACTCCAAAAGCAATCTTTAAATCTCAATGATCAACATCGAAACCATGGACCTAGAACAACTCTACAGATGTAAAGTTTATGATTTACAATTAAACACTTGAGAGAAATTCACTATATTCATATATATAACAGTTTGACAAATGAACATTTCCGATAGTCCATAGGAGCATAACAATATGCTTGAGTATTACCTATTAGCCTAAGTCAGAAAAAAACAATCTTTTCATAAGTATTATGATACATGAATCAGGTATGCACACATTCATACCTGATCAAATAAATGAAAGGAAAAATGACACTCATATTACACTTCAATAGCCAATTCCAAATTATGGCCGTTAGAGACAATAAAATGTACCATAAATCAGGTATGCACACAATTTAGATAACTCATACTATGTATGTCTGCTTCAAGCTCTTTGGACCGCGTTTTCTTCTTGGGTTAGCACTGATCATGCAGGAGAAGGCATTGACAAGTTCAGAATCCTCTTCAGTTGTTAAAATTTTTGCTGCATTTGGGTCTGCAAGCAGAAGTTTTGCCACGAGATAACCTGCAATAGACCAGGTCTGGAACAGGCGTGATTGTTTTCCAATAAACCTTGCTTTCTTGGTATCATAGTACTCGGGCCATTTGTCTCTAGATATACGTTTCTCAGCAACTGAAACAGCTTTTGCAGCAATTTCTGGTCTATTCATCTTTATGCATGCCACTGTGAGCTGTACAACGGGATTCATACATCAGAATTTCATACTTGGATTGCCAAGCTACTCAAAACCAACCTCTTAAACATGCAAAACATAAGCTATGTATGGATATGGAAATGGTTAAAGAATGCACCAATAACATAAGATAGGCAAAACTAGAGTATAACGCACCAATACCTATGGGTAAAAGTTGGCCAGACTGGCATAGTACTACTCAAGTCACAAAGGACCAAATGTCCTGAGCACCTATATTTTCCCTTTTTTTTGGATATTCATCTACAATTACTTGGGTAAGCCAACCAGAGTAATAGGAACTTCAAATATTAAGAGAATTAAAGCAAATGTCCTCAAAATCTACAGACTCCAAATGCAAACCTAAGATCCAGCTATTAACAAGGCAATTTAGAGAAACAAAAGAAGGATGCCACTGTGCTAACCTGCCAGAGTAGAGTTGGCCAGGAACCACCATTGTGGTAGGACCAAGGTCTGCGTTAGAAACAAATGAACCTTCTTAAAATTAAAATATTGATTTCAACAAAAAAAAAAAAAAAGAAAGAACATTTATCATATTTACGGTAGATATATTACGTGTTCTTGGGATCACAGCCTGTAATGATTTGCCACTCCTGACCTTCAAGAGCCGGATAACAGATCTTAAATGGCATGTCTGTCACCAAATCTGCCCATTTAGCTTCAATAAGATCCAATATAGCATGTGACTGATCAGTTGTTGCAAGACCACCCACAACAGCCCACAAATTTCCAAGAGAAAAGAATCTGAAATCCATGTGAGCTGGTTGTAAGTTCCCAATTAGGTAGCCTCCTTTATTAGGCATCCATTCTACCAACCAAGGAGAAATTTGATCCGGATAAATATTGAACTTATTAACAGCATCATATGAATACTCTTCAGTCTTGTAACGATAAATCTCATTAAGTTTTCTCATATCAATCCAATAATATTCTCTGATATGAAATGACAAAGCAACCAGACGATTATTCAGTGCTCGAATAAGATCAGCTGATCCATCCTCCGGAGTAAGCATTTCTCGTGCGCATAATAATGCAGAATAGAAAAGTGCCTACAGGAACGCAAAAATTATCTCAAGATCAGGTCTGGATTTTTTGCAAATAAAAATGGCCACTAGACTTAAATTCCTCATGCATGCAATGCATGTAATTTTTTTTTAAATGTATCAACAGACAAATATATAAAAATAAACAACAAATCAGTAAACTCAACCAACTTGCAGCATCGATCAAAGAAAAGCAGGGTATTATGGTAATTCTTGGAACAAATTTTGAATGACATGTTTTTCAAAATAATAGAGTAAAAATACCATCAAATTTGAAAATGTTTTGACTACCGTGGTATGATTATGATTCGCTAGTAAACAATATGGGTATTATAGCCTCCTGAAAGAACCATCTCACTTTGAAAAATAATGGTACCAACCAAGGATCAAGAGAAGCTCCCTACAAAAAGAATGAGTCCGTTGATTTCTTTTTCTTATCTTTTTACTTTATTTCCCTATTCATGCATGCAATTTTCATGAACTATGAAATAGGTGGGAAAAATTATCTAATGTCTGTTGAAAATTGTCATTAAACCAATCTTGGACCATGAAGGTGTATTGCATGGCAACACCTGTCCAGTCATTTGACATATCATAGATTTTCCTCCCTTATACTATTGAGAGTGAACATAACATACCATGATAAAATCACAGACTTTAACTACTTAAGCTAATGCCTAAGCCATCTACTGTTATTAAATTCTTTGCCATATAGTTGCCACTACTACTCTTGCACGGAGACTTTTCTGCATTTTCAATGAATATTTCTTCAAAGCTAAGGATAATTTGGTTTAAATTCTTTTATTTTGTACATATTTGGTTCAGGTTCCACATATTTCATTTTGCTTTCAAATTTTCTTAATGTGTAGTATACAGGAACTGGTGTCAAGTTCTTACTGATAATCCAATCCCAGGATAATGCTTAAGATGCACCACTAGGGTAAGAACTAAATTTAAACATATCGGTATCCAAGTTCCCAAACCTGAAAGTTGAAATAATATAGAGAAAGTTACTAGCAGAAGCCAAATAAGACCATCTCAAGAGTGAAGCATTTCAAAGTGAAGCATGGTACCACAAATTAGTCTCAATAAGGGAACCAATGGCGTATCTAGATGAAGTTACCAGCACCACATGAGATCATCTCAAGAGGGATTATTTAGCTAGGATGTCATTTTAAGTCTATAATATTTGGGTCCAGAAACATCTATTTCTCAAAAAAATAACAATGCTTGTTCACCGAAAGGTGGTCTGAGCACAATGGTTAAATGCCATAAATACATATCAAAGTCCTAGTCCAGGATATTTACCATTTAATTACTCCTCAGACAGCCATGTAATCAAGCATTTAAAAGCTTTTTGCCTTTTAACAGGAAAACAAAAAGGGACAACAACCTACAGCTCAAAACAAACATAAGTGATATGAATGTCATAATGTTTATACCCATGCCAAACATAGAACTTTCATGAAGTTCGATCCTAGTAACATAAGCGTGCTTATGGGTATGGTATAAAGATGCACATGAATTTCACATCTTGACTCGCTCTAAGGCTACCTACTTTTAAAAAATTTCCCAACTCAATCTCCTTGAACCCAAAACAATAACCTTTTGAAAACTCAAAGCTTGAATATTCTTTCATTATTCAATTTCCACAACACTGATGTCTTTTACCCCTTTCATAGCCCATACATACTTTTCTTCAAAAGAAAAAAAAAGAAAACATATATATTTTAGCCTAAGTAAATTCAGTTTCCAGGATTTCCCACTTTCCCAGCATGAAACAAGTACTCTACCTCAGTAATGGTAGCATTATCATCAAACCAGTAACAAAAGTCACTCCTGATATACTAAAGTGTAGTTATTTAGGTAGCAAAAGCAATCCGCAAAATGCAAGTAGCAAAACCAACAACCAAATGGAGCTTCCATTATTGCTCTTTGCAATCAGATATTGTTATTTACCTGAATTTCTAGAGGGTGTCCATGAATTCCCATGCGGCGATCTATCATACAAGAACCATCTGTCACCAGTAATGTAGGAAACATATCAAAACCATCAGCAATGCATAGCCGCAGAATCATCTTGATTCCAGTTTGAACATCAACTCTCTCCTGAACAGAAAGATCACCAGAGCATTTTCCATATGCCCGTAATAATATAATCCACCACAATCCTGCAATTGAAATAGGCAGTTGCAAAAGAATTCAGAAATTTAAGCATTTCCATGAATAAAACCAAATATACAATTCCTCTCTTAGACTAAACTTTGTTACCAGAATCAACAGGAGCAACACGGCCAATAGCTGCCTCTCCAAAGTCAGGATCCAATACCTCCTCTGTTGCTGAATCATCACCATCAAGAGGAACTGTGCGCACTTTAAAACTTGCAGGCATCAATCCCTGACCGGGGCTGTGACAGTCCATCGTTTTTTCCCAGCTCTATAACATAAGTAAGTATATTAAATAACAAAAGAAAAAACAGGAAGTTTATTTAACAGTAGGATATACATCCAAACCATTTTATGTTGAATTTTGTTAGATCGACATAGATCCAAATGCATGACACAAATGAAGACGCAATGTATCCCATTTATCAATTTGATATTACTGCAAATAGCAGTGTGCAATCACAGTGGTTGCAACATGAAACAATTACATATGTGGAAACAACAGTTTAAATTATTGCTCGTTCTCAAACATCTACAACAAAAAGTTCACTGTGCCACATGGATCAAATTTTTCCATATTATTTTATTTAAGACCATATCCAAAGAAAGATCATTACAGTAGAGTCCTTTAATTATATTGATAATGCTATGTAGTAAAAGATTACATGATCATAGTTGTCAAGGCATGTAAATCCAAGTTTATATTCATTTTGACTTTTTCTAGAAAAGTATCTGCTGTCTCCTATGCATGTAACCAGCAGGTTGACAAAGCATTAGGATGTAAACCATGTTTACTGGCAATGACTAGGCAGTTAGAACGGACAGTGAAAGTTTGAAGAATTTCACAAATTTAAATCATGAAGAATCAATCAAACTCCATAATGGCAGAGTGGCTATAATCACTGTTTCAATATTTATTCTAAATAGCATACAGGAAAATTTCCTCTATTATAAACATAAATGTAAGTCCAATGATAGCAAAACAAAACAGGGAAATTTTCAGAACAATCAACTTAATTAAGGAAAAAAGAACATGAAAATAAACAGTGGCCATATTAGGGGGGTTGGCTAGCCAATAATATCACGTGTTGGAACTAGGATCATAGCTTGCTAAATCATTTTCGCTTTGCCCCTGTATATACACACAAAGGCACACAATTGTCCTTGAACGTGAATTACAAGTGAGGGAAATAATTTATCAAGACATGAAATATCCACCAAAATATGATAATTACCATCAGAAATAGTCAATACAGTCATACTATTGAATATAATATTACCTGCAACTGAAGTGTATGGAGAATGAAGTTCCGAACAATGTCATACTCTCCCTTCAATAGAAAAGCAATACCAGAAGGTATAAAGTCCCGAATAAAGACTTGATCATAATTTAATACATTGGAACTTGTGGGGTCATTGGCTGCAACTGTTCCAATAGGACTGCCACAATAGTAAACCATAGAATCCTGCAGTAACCCCCACGCTTCATCCTCGATAGAATCTACACTAGCCTTGTGAAAGGTACTCGTGCCTGTTCCAGCTGTACCATTTGATGTCGACACTTCTTTTTCCCTCTTCAACTGCTCAACATCCTCAAATTCCAGAACATTTGGTGAGTTTATTGATCCATTAAGATTCAATTTCTTTGCATTATCCACAAACCATGCTCCATTTCCGTCACCCATACCTACTCCACTCACACGGTCAGCCTGCTGGCATTTACAACTAAGAAGCTTCAATCTGTCAATGGCTGTATTTGCATCCAAACCACCAACTAATCGTGTACACTTATAGCTTCCTATTTGACATCTCATCATACTTGAACACTTCAGAGATTGCAAATACCTTGAGCCTTTTTTCTTCACGGACCTAATGTGATATTTAGAAGAAAATACAAAATCCGAATTGCTAGAACACAGATCACTACTTAAAAGCCGAGGGACAGCCCCAGATAAAACTTGCAGCACTGCCTCACAAGTTCCCATTGACATGATGCTTATCAAATTAAAGACACTGTATTTAAATTAAATTCCTTCTAATCATACAAATCCAGATGCTTCACTTCAATTCAAGATACCAACACCTTAATTTTTAAAAATAAATTAAAAAAAAAAAGGAAACAATCAGTACATATACAAAAGGGTTCACATAATCCAGAAAGAAAAATAAATAAACCAACCAAAAACAAAAAGCTTGAAGTTAATATAACAGCATTGCAAAGATAAAATTACAAGTCCACGTTTTAGAAACCAAAATATATGTATAATCATAAATAAAATTCTCTCTCATTTCCTTCTCTTTTCGTATTTTCTTATTAGATTAAGCATGCAAATGAAGATGAAAAAAATTAACAAAAGTCATCATAATAACACATAAATTAACTGATCAAATAGAAAATTAAAGTAAAAAAAAAAAGACAATTTTATATCGTCAAACTACCCTACAAAAACCAGACGAGCAGTATTCAAATAAAATTATCAATACCCACATGCAAAAAAGTAGTGAAAAATTATTTCCTTCATAGCATTTTAGGTGATATAAAAAAAAATTCAAATCCCTGCATGCAGACAACAAACCCAGATAGAATTATTTACAATTACAATGAGCTAAAAAAATTTAAAAGAGATTTAAAATAATAATAATAAAAAAACTAACCTTAATGGGTCTGTTTGGAAATGAATGTTTGGGAATTGGAAGCAAAAGAAACGGAAAAATCGAGAGAATATTAGATAGTTTTTTTTTTAAGAAGAAAAGAGGATAGAAAATGTTTCCTTCCTCTTTTTGTGTGTACCAAAAGCGTTCCGCACAATCACTTTGAAAGGTATTTGAGGCATTTCGTTTAATATAAATAAAATGCAACCATACCAGAAATTCATATGACCAATCTTCCACGTCTCTTTTTTCCTTGCTGTACCTATCATCGGTTTTCCTTCTCTTCTTTCTTTCTCTTTCCTTTCTTTTATATCTAGTCTTGTTTAATATCAATCACTTCTCTTCACGTGGCTTTTACTTTTTTTAATTATTATTTTATCTAACTAGAAGGTTAAATTTAATTTTCTAGCCCCTTTATTAAGCTCTTAAAAGAAGATAAAAGTAAAAATGACAACATATTGAATATTTATTATTTGAATTTATTTAATATTTATAATATTTAAATTTAAATATATTTAAATAAAAATTATTTATTTAAATATATGAATTTGTATTCATTTAATTAAATTTTTTATTAAAATATTAAATAAATAAGAATTATAATTATAATTCGAGTCCATCCTCAATTAATAACAAATAAAAGTTATTTGTTAAAATTTTAAACCTTTCACAAGCATATAATTTTTCATATTTTACGTATGTAAATGACTAAAAATTTAAATATCTATTATAATTCATTAAAATTTAAACCAATTCGAATATCATATATCTAAATAATATTATCTATATTCTATCTCAACTCATCACAAAGTAAATATTCTATCTGAATTCATTAATCATTTTTTATAACTATTTAAGTTTAATATAAATCAACGATATTACTTTATTTACCATCTATTGTCATCCCTATATAAAAAAGAGCTTTGTTAAACCTTCCCTCCCTTTTTCATGGGTTATACCCATCTTTATCTATCGAGAAAAAAAGGTAAACTTATTTTAAGTTCAAAATAACTTTGACTATCTTAATGTATTTATTTATTTATGAATTACTATTGAATTTTTATATTATACGAAAATTTTATTGAATTTTTAGCATTGTATTTTTAATTTTGTTTTCTTTTTTTTTAAATTTTAATAAAGAGAATATTACATGCATAAGCTATCCATAACCCACAAACACCAATTGATCTAAGGGTTAGTCAATGTATTTTTAATTTTGTTAATTATTATAACAAAATTGATGAAAATTTATTATGAATATTAATATAATGTTATGTAAAGTATAATTAAATTTTACTATCACAAATTTTATCATTTACATTAATAAAATATTTCATAAGATATTTTAATTTTATTTCTTTTTATCAAAAAAAAAAATTAATGAAATCAAAAGTAAAGGCACAAAATTTAAGAAAATTGAAGTAAAATGATAAAAAAATCAAATATTGATTCATAATATAGTAACAAATTTCACCAAATATCTTCTTCTATTCATCACACAAGTATTGTTGTAATAATTTTATTTAATAATTAATTTTTATATTAATTTCATAAATTATCTAATAAAATATAAAATAATTTTCTTTCCCCACCTCCTAACCTCAATTCTTATTGTTCAAAGTCTAAATCACAATATGAATTTCTCAAGTTTGAATATGAAGACGTATAATCCTTTTTGTTTAATTATTAAAATAAATTATATAAATTATCAGAAAATATTATAAATTATATACTATTAAATAATAATTTAATTAAATTTTTTAATGGTATTATGGATATATTTTAATGTTACATTAAATAATAATAAAAATATTAAATATTATTAATCAACAACATATTAAATTATATATAATATATTATGTAATTTTAAAATTAATTAATCTTAAAAGGGTTAATGTCGTTAATGGCTCTTAATAAATTATAAAGCATTTTTAATGTGATACTTAAACTTTAAAATATCCAATATAATACTTGAACTATAAATATTTTAACTAATATGTTATTTAGGGGGTTATTTATTTATTATGTGTCACAATTTCAAACTAATCACGTTAAAGATAATAATCAGATGTAATAAAGTGTTACTCAAATCCAAATGTAACTTCAATAGTTAAAAGAAAAGGTGAATGGTCTTTGTTGGAGATAAGAAACGATTTCAAAACAATGTTGATGGAATTTTTGAATGAAAGAGAGTTAAAGGGTAAAGCATGTGAGACTCCTCTCATTAGAGAATGCATTCCACCTTGAAATACTAGTAATGAATCCCAAAGTACTCAACAACAACTTCATTCGATGGTAGGCACTACTAGTTAGCACTCAGGTCTTGATTTTTCCAAGATGTTCAAGTTCGAATGTCCTAAATTCAAGGGAGAAGATTTCAAGGGATGGCTCATGAAGATGGAGCAGTATTTTGCAACAAAAAATGTGCTTGAAGAGTTGAAGGTCAGAGTAACCATGTTGAGTTTGAAAGGTAAAGCCCTCAGTGGCATCAGCATTATAAAAAATCTCAAGGTAGCTTTAAGATGTTAAGTTGGGATAAGTATATAGCCAGTATCAGGAAAAGGTTTGCATCAGAGGAATTTGATGACTCGATGGTTGAGCTGGTGAAGTTGAGACAATCTGGGATTATGGAGTAATACTATGAAAATTTTATAGGTATGCTAAATCTTTTACAACTATTAGAATCCTATGCTTTGAGTATATTTGTTAGTAATTTGCATTATGATATTTCTAAAAATGTGAAGCTATTCAAACCTTCTAGTTTGAACCAAACCTTACACTTAGCCAAACAATTTGAATTCATTTTACACCTTTCCCATAAAAAACTTGTTCAATTCAGTAAACCCTTCTTACTTGCCACTCACCTTAACTCATATAATACATATGGTAAACCCAATATACTGCGTCTCATACCACCAACCTCTAAGGCACCTCCCAACCCAAACTTACTATTCTAGAATCCACCAAAATCACCTATATATAACCATGCCTTAACAAAAAGTTCAACATCACATAACACTTCACCTAAATTTCACACTAGGAAGCCAACTCTTGCTAAAATAAAGGATAAAAAAAAGATTATGTTATTGGTGTGGTGTTAAATACAGTCCTGGTAATAAATGTATGAAATCATAATTGTACCAACTCTTAATTGAAGATGTGGCTGACGATCCAGAATTAGAAAAATATTTAGATTGTGTAGATAAACCAGAATTGTTGCTGGCAGACTCAGAAGAAGGTGATGTGCTAGTAATAACACTGTATGCCATTTGTGGAACTACATGTTATCAGATAATGAGAGTCCATGGGGTCATTAATGGCCAGAAGATAATCATGTTAGACAATTCGGGTAGCACATACAACTTCATAGATAATGCTATAGCATAAATATTGAAAAAACCATTGCGAAGTAGGGGAAGCACTATAGTTTAATAAAAAAAGTTTAACGCATAAAAATCGGCTTTTTAAAATATAAAGATTAAATTTATTAAAATTATAAAATAGATAAAAATAAAAAGGATGAAATTAAGACTCCATTTATTTCTCGAACATCAACTTTCAAAAAACAATTTTTTGTAATATATTTATATTTTTTTGGAAAGGTGAATATTTTTTATTGTTTGGATGAGTCAATAAAAATATTTTCTTTTATTTGATTATTTTATTAAAAATTTGTATTTTTTCAAAAAATATTGAAATGATTTTTATTAAAATATCAAAATTATTTATAATTAAAAATATTAACATTTAAACATTGTTATATATTTAATATTAAAAATATTATATTAATATTAGCAAGTAAAATAAAACTATTTATTATTTATATTTTTTATTGTTAAAATAGTAATATAAATATATTATCAATAAAATATAAAAATAATATATTTTTAATTGAAAATTATCACGAATTATTAAAAATATTCATATTTTTAAAATCCCAATATTTTTGTATTAAATAGTATTAATTAATAAAATAATAAAATATTATTTACAATATCAATATTTATTATTTATTATTAAAATAATAAGATAATACTATTTATTATTGAAGTATAAAAATATTTATGTTTAACAATATACAAAATAAAAATATTTAAAATTAAAATAAATAAAAATATTCTTATTAACATAATAATATTTTAAGTTGGGTCAAATTATTTAAATTTGAGCTTAAAAAATTATATCTAAAATCCTACTTGAGTAGAAGGATACTTAATAAATTTGTGAAGTAATCTTACCCATAGATAATTTTTTTTGAAAATTATAAATAAAATACCTTATTTTTTATTAACCAATCAATCTTTCATTAAACAAAAACAAAAAAATAAAAATTTATTTTACTAAAGAAATGGAACCTAAAATTTTCAACAAATTTTGCATGGTAGACATAATTCATGAACATGTGGAGTCAAATCCCTGGGGGTCCAATATATAAAAAAATCTAAAATTTTTGTCAGGTGTCATAGATTACGAACTATACAGAGAAAGCAGCCTCAGATCCAAGAACAGCCAATCGCGTCCTCACCATCTCCAAGAAACGTTATATCTCAGTAAGATCTGATTCGTGGTTGGGAGGAAAAGATGGGCCAAACCTTGAAAAAGATCCATGTTCCAAGCTCTCGGCATTGGTGGATCTCTATTTGGAGGGGCGAATTGATTTTATATTAAAATTATTTTTTTTTCATAGAATGTATTTTATTATATTATTAATATATATAAGCAATATATTAGCAAAGTATATATGTTTTCAAAATTATAAATTTTATTAATTTATAAACCAATATATAAAGAAAATATAGTACATTAAATAAATAACTTTATTTAAACTTGTGAATCTTTCTTGCAATTGTGACTATTTTTTTTAAGTATAAGTAAATTAATTGTTAAACAATATATATCTTTTATCAAAACAAGAAAAATAAACTATATAATTAAAAGAACAAAATTTGAAACTTTAAGATTAGAAGTTAGGATTTTTTTTTTAACCTTGTAAATAAAGTGGTTTCAATTTGGCTTTTGTGTTAAAAAAATTATTTGATAGAGAAAAAATCTAAGATAGAATTAAAAATGAAGAGTTATATGGAAATGTGGAATTGTTATCAATTAAAAAGT